ACGCAAATCTGTGCAAGTGCAACAACTGGTTACGGTGGAATGCCGTCTTTAATCTCGCCACCAAACTCTGCTAGGGAAAGCTACGGACAAGGGCCCCTTGCTCCTTGGGTGTCGAGTGCAAATTGCCAAGCTGACGTCTCAAGTGGTCAAGTGGGCTGTACTCTATTTGTTTGCTTGCCTGACTGTTTGGCCGGGGTGATCGCAGCAGGATAGCAAGTTGCCCGTGGGCATGACAGGAAATTTGGTGCGGGTCGTACATAGTAATAATAGTAGCTGAAAAAGACACGTTCTGTGTAGTTTTATGCAAGCACTAAACGATGCTCGAACGATTTTAGATCAAAGCCGTGAAAGCTACTGTCGGTAAAAGAGAGCCTAAGAAAAAACTTGTGTCGGTAAAACTAGTCATTCATCCCCATTTTCATTTTCACCACACGTTCGGACGTTCCTCTCTCTTCAGCACAACTGAAAATATCCAAGGGATCCTGCGGTCCACGCTCACGCCGTACGATCCCACCGTCCACCCCATTAATCAAATAAAATCAACGGCTGATGTAACGCAGCGGAGAACATCGTGCGCCTCGTGCCGTCACGCAGCCTATTCGTTTCGGATGAAACGATCGTGGATTATTACTGCTGGTTAGTTTGATGTGTGAGAAAAATACTGTTCTGACTTATAATCCATGATCGTTTACGACCAATCGAACAGGCTGATGCTGTGCGGCTCCCTGTGTCTCGGCCCCTAGGCGGCTCCACCTAGAGCCCATTGCGGAACCTAAACTAAAATAAATCTCCAACGCAGTACCTATAGATTCTGTTTGTTTTGCTGAAAAACCTATGACTGAAAGTACTGTTCGTTGATTTGTTGTGAGAAAAAATACTGTTTATTCGCTGAAATAGTATGACTTATAAGACAAGCGAACATGGTCATAGCCTCCAACGAGTACCTATATGGAAGATCTATTTTAGGTGCCAGGAGAGACATAACTTAAATTTGAGTATCCTCTCATGAAGACCCATTTATAGAAAGGGTTGTCTTTTAGGTCTTGTTGGTGTAGAAGACAAAAATAAGTATTAAACCATTTGCCTATAGCGCTAACTAAAAAACGAATAGATTTTGTATTTTGGGTCGCAGCCGTTGAAGACAGTCCGAGGACCCTTGTTCACGGGAGCAGATTTCCTCCCTTCTCTTCCTGTCTGTCACTGACACACTAGGAGCTGCTGAAGCCAAAAAGCTCAGCTCGTCGTGTGTCTGTGAGAGAAAAGGAGAGGAGAAACGAATCCGCTCATATGAACAGTATCTCCACAGTAAACAGCGCAGCAGGAGCCGGAACACCAGAATCTATACAAAGAGGCCCTTGTTCCCGGCCACGCGCGGCCACCACCTTTTCTTCTTTTTTTTTGACGCCTCAGTTCAACTCGAACTTCCCCGAAATGCCCCTGCCGGCCGAGCGCCGCCGGTGTCGGCCTCACCGCACCAAGCCACCAAGTCGGACGCCGACTGGCGCAGGGGCGTTTCCGTAACCCCGAGCCCCGCCCGGTCGCTTCCGCCGTCCCGTCCCCGCACCGCGCCTCGGACAGCTGGACCTGCCCCGTCACGGCCCCGCGTGGATGGTCGGTTCTGCCCCTGGCCCCTTCGCGGGCGCGGCGCACGCATCCGTCTGGTGCCTATCTGGTGCGGCTCGATTCGGCCCGACGATTCCGATCCCCTCCCGTCCACCACCCCGTCTCCGTCTCTCGCCCTCCACGCCGGTGACCGGAGAAGGGGCCGCGCGCAGGCGACGCCCACGGCGAATCTTCCCCCGCTCCGGCCGCGGCCAGCCTCGCAGCGACGCGCCAGGTAAGCCTCGGTTCGCCGTCACTCTGTATGTCCCGCGGGAATGGATGCGCAACGCGTGTTCAACGGCGTCACCGTCGCCGTGTGCTCGCTTGGCCGCGAGCCCCGTCTCCTCCTCTCTTCGAGTGGAGAATGCCGAGATGACAGGTGCTAGCGCTCGGGTAGCGCTTACACCGTGCCGCTCGCGAAGAATCGCACCTGGGTATAACTTGTCGAGGAGCTCCCGATCCACGCTGGCCGGGAGAACCCCGCACGCTGAGCAAGCGAGCGCCTGCACTGCCTGCTCTGTCTGATTGACCGTAGTTGCTTGCTGCACGCAGCTAGTACATACAGTCTGCCCCTCTAGGTTTCCTAGGCGACATTGGGGGTTCGCCTAAGAAGCATTTCGTGCTGTTAGTTCGAGCTTTACAAGTGATAGTGAAATGTTGTTTTTTCAGATTTATGAATGACAAAGGAAGAATTTTTCCTGCGCTATGCCATTCCTATGAATTTTCTTTGATTGCCAGCACTGGTAATCATTCAATGATGACTGTCCAATAATTTAACTTTACCACTTTTTTAAAACAGGATTGAAGGGGGCATGAGAAGGTGGACATCGTTGCTCTAGTGATTTGATTACCGGAGATGGTGTTGGTGTTTAAGCAGCACTGCTGCACACACTCTGCGAGCTGCGTTTGCATCAAGGGCCACCTCAGTGAGGATGCTCTGTACCTCGTCTTCCGCCACATGAACTGGAACCCGAGGCTGATTGCTATATTGTCATGTGTGTGCAAGTGGTTTGACGAGGTTGCCAAGCAGGTGCTGTGGAAGGAGTTCTGTAATGCAAGGGCTCCAAAGATGATGCTGGATTTGCATTCAGGTGGCAGCCACATTGTTGATGGGAACTGGAAAGCGCTGGGGAAGCTGCTCATCTATTGCAACGGCTGCCCAAAGGGGGGACTGTTTAATAACATCCATGTTCCAGGCCATTTTGTGTTCAGGACACGCTTTTCTAGGACTGCGGGCAGGAGTTTCCTGCCTCTGCCATGCAAGTCGGACGTCCTGTATGTGTCAGATCCATGCGAGCATCTTGATCAGGGGGATGAAGGCGACTTGGGTTTCTTCCGAGGCATCTTTAAGTCATTCGCCACTTCAAGGGTAAAGAAGATGTTGATTGAGAAGCAGGCTAAGTTTCATCCAACGGAGTCGTGCCCTTATTGTAAGGCCAAGCTATGGAACATGTTCCAGGAAAATATGATTCCAAGGAGTGCTTCCGCTAGGCTGGGTGCCTATGATGATTCTGTCGAGTATTTTGTATGCCTGAATGGACATGTTATTGGACTTGGTACCCTGCTACCACTCTCGGATTCGGAGGAGGCAGCAGATGAGTAATCATCAAGAACATGAATCAGGTATCATATATTTTCTGTTGAATTATTTGTGAAGAATAGATAGAATTCTTTATATGATGCATTAAAATATATACACTGAAGCACAGGTACGCCTTTTCCATGGCAGATTTCTTCTTGAATCTTTTCTGTAAACATCAAGTTTCATGTGCAGACATGTCTGGATGTACATAGACTGATTACCGTTCAATATTAGTTTGTGTTTGCATACACTCAATGCTTAATCCTATTTATTTAATGCATAACTTGCTCAATATTTCACATCATATACCAACATTTTCTCCCTGTAAGACTCCCAAGGAACTTAGCATAAGCTTGTTGGGATATCATATCACATAATGCTTATTTTAGATTTTATTTTAGGAATTTTTTACATTTAAAAAGGAAACATTACTAGCAAAACTATTCTCAAGGGTTTCTATGCTTATTTCGTAATGGCATCAGAATTATTGAATCGATTCTTATGAATCCCATATTTTTAACGCAGTCCCTGTCTGTTTCTGGCACCCTTCTGTTTGGCCCTACTTTAAAGTTTATATATACTACTTGATATTTGTATGGTACATCAAGTCATAACTGGTGCTAACTATCTTAATGTTAGAAGTGGCAGCACACAAGTTTTGGGAGGCAGTTAGAGTGCTTATGAACACCAAAAAAATTTCACCATTCAATTCTCACTTCTGGTACTTGAAAATTCAAAATTATGAGAGCAGTCAATCTATATTGATGATATAATGCATCTTTTAGTTCTCTTTAATCAAATATCCACATGACAAGCATTCCTTAATTTAAATCTAGATTTACTGGTTTATTTTCAGAAGAGCCATATTGTCTGGCCAGTTTGTTCTCTTATTTTATTTGTGAAAAATTATGAGGAAAATGTGCAATTGCTGATATCCTGTTTTATTTGTGATTTGCTAGTTTCGTTGCTTTTATCTACTTAGACCATAACAAATTAACAGCATTTGGCGACAAGTACACCAGTTTAAGTAAGGTAGCAGACTCTCTCTCAAATAAAAGGGTGTCAGAGCTGTGATATAGTATTTACTAATAATAGATAAAAACTGCAATGTAGTGACAGAACATCTATGTAGGGTAAAAGGCAGTCCAAACAGAAATTCTTGTTCTGCTAAAGTGAAACAAACATGTGTTCTGAATTGACTCCCCATTTGTTGACAGGTTTGCAAGATTGAAGCCCAGGGCTTGTGAAATGGTACTGAATCTTGGTTCAGCCAACTGTTGCACGACAAGAATCTGTGATGGGCTCTGCATCGGACTTGCAGCTGTGGGTGTCTTGCATCAGATTGGAAAAAAGAAGAGCTATTTTATGTTCACATCATGTGTTGTGACATGTTTTATTTAGCTAGACTTGTGATGTTAAATTTGTGCTCGTGATATTCATGTGCTGTTGTCCTCACTGTGCCGTTTCTGTTGCTGACTACTGATTCTGGTGTGCGTGATCCGATTCTGCTCATATGCTTGTGTTTGTCACCGTATGTTATGCCGTCGGATTAATGTCGCCATGACATCATTTCACCTGCTTCAGAAATGAAGAATGAAATAATAGTTGAAATAGCCCAGCTCAAAACATATCCACAAAATGGGCCTGACCCAACATACGTACAAAATGGGTCGAGACGAACATAGTCTGCTAAATGGGCTCAGCCGCCTCTTCTTTTCTCCGCTCCCTTCCCCACGTCGTCCCAACCGCGCCCGCTCCTCATTTCCTTCCTTCCCCAAACCGCCTGGCAGTCGCCACGAGCCCACGACCGTAACCCATGGAGATTACGGAGGAGCAGCGGCGTCGCTCCGAGGCCAACCGCCTCGCCGCCCTCGAGAAGCGCAAGCGCCTCGCAGAGGCCGCAGCCGCGGCCGCGCCTTCCACCGCCTTTCCCGCCTCTGGCGCCCCCACATTCCCTGCCTACGACACTGCCGCCGCCGCCGAGTGGAGGCTCGCCAAACGCCCAAGAATCGCCCCGCCCGCGCCCCAGCCTCCGTTTGCGCCGCTGCCCCCGCGTCCTTCCCCACCGCCGCCGCCGCCGCCGACTCCGCCTCAGCCGCCGGTGGGGTTCCAGGTTGTGCTGGAGGTATGCAGCCCCGACGAGTTCTTGGTGGCGGTGGGGCCGGTGGAAGGCAGGGCCTACCCCGGGGAGGCCGAGTGCCTCGGCGCCGTCCAGGACTGTCTCGCTGCGGCTTCGGTACGGTTTGCATCGGTTCTTGCCTTTGAGGAATAGACGTTATTCCAGTTTCTGCTTTGATCGGAATGTACAATTCATGAGCTACTCCCGAAATTCGGTGTTTTCTTGGATACCATTATGCTTTTGTTTGCGAGATTTTGGTGATTTTCGTGTTTCTTGACACCAGTCTGTCAAATTCGTGGACATCGGCGAGCTTTTCTTGATAAATAGTTTTTTTTGAAGGATTGATAAATAGTTTTTCTTTGGATCCTTCTTTTTTCCATCTGTTTGGATGTTCTTGATAAGGATTTTGGTATGCAGCTGGAACTCATTTTTCCTTCAATGTTTGCACTGTTAGGTTGTACAATACTCTGCAACGCAGTCGCTAAGTCAAAGCGCACATCTTCGTCCTGTATTTAAGTTTGTGGACTATGATGTGGTGTTGAAATGCCTTAAGAAATTACCTGGAGCTTCTGTGCAAGAAATACCTTCTAGCACAAAGAGAATTATTCAGGATATACCTAGGTATCCTGGCCAAAAGTGGGCTTCTGATGAAGAAGTAGATGAGCTTCTCAAGAAGCTGCCACAGCAAATAAAAGATGCTCTTTTACCCTTCCAACTTGAAGGGGTGATGTTTGGGCTTCGAAGGCGTGGATGCTGCCTAATTGCAGATGAGATGGGGCTTGGCAAGACTCTCCAGGTGGGCATATAGCATGAATTCTTGCATAGTGCAATCCTTGCTGTTTTGTATATGAGTGCTTTGGGATATTCTTGTGGTGTACATCAATATGAATAGGCTTACCAATTTGCCTATATTAAGGGAGTGAGTGAGCATATTCTCATGCACTTTAATGCAGGCGATTGCAATAGCATGCTGCTTCAAGGATGAGGGCTCTATATTAATAGTATGTCCAGCCGTATTGCGTTATTCTTGGGCAGAGGAATTGGAACGCTGGGATCCTTCATTTATGCCAAAAGATATTCATATTGGTATGAGACATCTTTCTTTTTGTCGATGTGAAAGCTGGTTTTTTATCGCACTTATGTTATATTGTTTGATCACACATTATGTATCGTAACCCTCTAAGTTCTTTGCTTGCTCTTGATTCAGGCTGAACTCTAAGGACTACTCCATCCGTTCCAAATTATAAGCCGCTTTGACTTTTTTGGTACATCCATTTTGCTATGCATCTAGATATAATAATATGTCTAGATACATATCAAAATGGATGAACCAAAAAAGTCAAAGCGACTTATAATTTGGAATGGAGGGAGTATATGCTTTTCAGTTATAATATACCGTTAGCAACGTGGTCATCTAGTGAACCATGTAACCTTTAACTTTTATTATTTCAATTCAATCTCACCTTATGTGTGCATAATGTGAAAAATAATGAAATTTTGCTTTCATAAGTTGATTGAAATGCTATAGCCCACATAACATCCCCTGTGAACTATCAAAGACAAGATCATTCAGATGTCTGATACCTAGTGTCTGCTTGGTCTATCTAGGTTGATTTTTTTCTTCAGTTTGACTTACTGACTTGTCTTTGGGATTTTCAGGAACTTTTGGATAAGCTAGCATTTGAACATATTTTAATGAGTTATGTATGTTTTACCTTTTCAGATCAAAAGATGTGATATTCAATCCGAAGCTAAGCTAGCTGCTAAGTGCTAACATAAGTTCAAATCTAGAATGCTTTTGGTTCTTTAAGTGTAAATTAAATGGGTTTATTATCGAGAAAATAACTTTCAAATCATAGTTTTGTGCTTTGGTTGTAAACTGCACTAGTATTAATGAAAGACCACTGTTTTACAAAATATGGCTAATGTCTTATCACTTCTCCCTTGTGTTCTTTCCTATATAGCTTCCCTATATTAGCTCTTTAACCCACCTCGGGCTTCCTTCTTTGTGCAACTACTTTTGTACAGTGTTGTCCTTTTATTTTTTAATTAATAAAGCAAACAGTGGGGGCCTCCCCTGCTGTATTTTCTCTAAAAAACTTCTCCCTTGTGTGATTGACTTTCTAGTTCTGAATATATTCTTTTGATCTTTGTTTCCGGTTCATATAGAGGAAGTATCAAGTGCACAATAGTATATTGGTGCACATATGCGCCAACTCAATCTCACCCACGGGTCCAATATGAAGGGCTGAAGTGAGGTGGACCTAAGTCAGCCCAAAAGGGATGAGAGAACTCCCACCTCGAACTTGAACCTTTAAGACTGAATATTTGGATCCGAAGGATGGGATTGAGTTTTTGCATATGTTTCACCAGTATGCTCTTGTGCACCTGATATTTCCTATTTTGTATAAGGACCATATGTTTAAATTATATCTATTATTTTCTCATTTTCAGTATTTGGTCATCAAGACAGTCTTGAACATCTAAATGCTACTCCAAGGGCAGTGATTACTTCTTACCAGATGCTAAGTCGCCTTAGGGAAAGTATGGTGAATAGAACATGGGCACTGATGATTGTTGATGAATCGCACAACATACGCTGCACGACGAAACGAGAAGAAAAATATGAGGTATTGATGTTATCATGAAAAAAAATAAACGATCTCATGTTTCAGTACAAGCATACAGCTCTCGAATGCCCCAATCTATGAAGGAGATTCTGTTCCTTGTTATTTGACCCATCCTATCATTATTTTTAAGATCATGACTTTGTTAGGCTTACTTTCCTATATTACAAAAAATTGACTTCGAGATGATTTAGTGAACTTCCACATTTCTTCATCATTCAGCTTGATTCTCCACATGTCTATGCGCTTGTATATAAAAAAAGGGGAACTAGTTACCACATATGATTCATTTAGTTTTCTATTACTAGTCTGAAATATCAACATTCCACTTGCTTCTTGTATTGACTTGCTTGCCTTGTGATAGACAAAAGCTGTGCTGCATCTAGCTTCAAAAACTGATCGCATCATATTGCTCTCGGGGACACCCTCTCTCTCAAGGTTATAAAGATATCCATCATACTCTTTGAGTTCCTTGCGCTATTGAAATTGTACTCTTTATATTTCATCCGTGATGCATGAAAATAGTTCTCTTACTATTTATTTTCTCCTAGGTGATGATAGACCTTTTGATATCTACCACCAGATAAATATGCTATGGTAAGTAAAAGAAAATGGCATCTTATTGTCTTGGTCTTATGAAGCTCTTTAAATTGTTCTGTTGCAATATTGTTGTTAATCACCCTACCCCCACTGCTTTCAGGCCCCACATGCTTGGTAGAGATAAATTTGATTATCTTGAAAAAATATTGCTTGCTGCATGCTGCACGAAGTTATCAGGGGAAAATATCTAAGGTATGTGATTCCTTGGTTTGTAAAGGTATATCACTGTTACTAGTTCTATTCCCTAAGCTATGGCTCCTATGGGCTGTCTGCAGAGCTGTTGTTCGCTAAGTGGGGTAAAATCTATGCTGTACATGTAGAAACTAAATATAGCAAACCATGAAATAATGCATGAAAAACTTTTTAACTAGTTTTCCCCCTTTAAAGAAACAGGAGTTCTGCAAACCAGTTAATAATTGTAGTGGTTTATAACAGAAAAACCCTATAGAGCAGGTATTATAGATTAAATGCTACGAAAGAGTGGTTGGATAGATGGTTGCAAGGCAGGACAATCTCTGAACTCGCACCCAATCTATTCAAATTGATCTCCAAAAGAGTGGTAAAGCAACGCACGGTAGCCCAGGCGCCCTGGACAGTCGGCGCTGGGTTGCAAATATTAGAGGGGCTTTGACTGTAGAAGTGCTAAGAGAGTATCTGTTTATTTGGGGGCTGGTTGATGACCTGGTTTTACAGCCAACAGTTCCTGATCAGCATAAATGGAAGCTATGTATTACTGGAACATACAGCAGCAGGTCTGCATACAATGCCTTTTTCCTTGGAAGCATCAGGTTCGCGCCTTGGAAGCATATTTGGAGAAGCTGGGCACCCTTGTGGTGTAAATTTTTTGTTTGGTTGTCCATTAACAACTGGTGTTGGACAGCTGATCGCCTGGCCAAACGTGGGCTTCCTCACCCACCAGCATGCCCGCTTTGTGATCAGGCTGAGGAAAATATTCAACGCATCCTCATCTCATGTGTGTTCGCCCGACAGATTTGAACCCTGATTTTACAAAAGCTGGACCTGCTGTCTTTTCCCCCTCAATGATCTAATATTCGCTTCTCTAGTTGGTGGTGTGGCATCATCAAAGGCGTTCCAAGGGGTTCGCGCAGAGGCCTCAGTAGTCTGATCATCTTAGTTGCTTGGGAATTAATAGCACTGAAATGCTTGTGTTTTTGAAGGTGCTAGGCCTAGCATAAAGGTGCTGTTTCAATCTGTGGCCAATGAGAGTAATCTTTAGTGTATGGCGGGAGCTTCGGCCTTACATGAGTTCCTTGCTAGGTCGTTGGTCTTGGATTCCTAGGTCCTTGGTCATTTGAGGCAGCTGGTCGTGTTTCCCTAGTTTCTTTTCTAGTATGCTGTATTCACTAAACCCCATGGGGGGTGCCTGGGAGGGGGGGTTTCTTACTTCCCTCCCTTTTGTATCTTTTTATTCTTCTTCTTAATGAAATGACACAAAAGGGCGGGCCTAGTGCAAGCGGTAGAGTCTTACCGCCTGTGACCGGAAGGTCCCGGGTTCGAGTCGTGGTCTCCTCGCATTGCACATGCGAGGGTAAGGCTTGCCACTAACACCCTTCCCCAGACCCCGCACAGAGCGGGAGCTCTCTGCACTGGGTACGCCCTTTTTTTTCTTAATGAAATGACACGCAGTTCTCCTGCGTAGTTCAAGAAAAAAATGCTACGAAAGAGAAATGAATTTTGCCGCTAGTATTTTGTGGAAACATTTTCTTAGGTCATTAAGGCTGTAATTTGTTTTATATGCAGGACTTCTCTAAGGGTACGCGGTTGACAGAGTTAAATGTTTTGCTCAGTCAAACTGTCATGGTTTGTTCTTCTTTCAGCCACTTAAGCTTCATTTCATAGCTTACTATGATCTATTACCTCCGCTCCATTGTGGTAGTTCAATCTATACTGTTTGTTGGTCTGTTAGGCTAACTCATGTATCTACACAATTAACTATTTAACGATACTAGCCCTTGGGTTTCTTTTAGCCACCAATTGCACAGTACTTTTTTTTGTTGCTGATGCAATTCTTTAGCCCTCTTAATTGAAATTTTTAATGGTTCAAAGGCATTTGGCAGAGAAGTGCTACTGTTGGCAAATATTCTAGCAAAAAAAGGTTTACTGTTCTATAACCTGATTTATAAAGAAATGAAGTGCTCGTTTCCTAATAATATGCTTGCCATTATTAAAGACTGTTGCATTGTTTGTCACAAGCCATGCAATCACATGATATATTATGTTGAGATTTGATTGCTTATTAACGTCTGCTCCGTCACAGCTAAAGTTAGCTGCTTCATCTGCTTGCTTCTGTGTTATAGATTAGGCGGCTGAAGGAGCATTTGTTGAATGAACTGCCCCCCAAGCGGCGACAGATTATTTGGTTGAAGCTAAAGGCACCAGATATCAGGGCAGCCACGTCTTCATGCGTCAAAAGGGTGAACTCTAGCAGTTGTAATGGAACTCTTACAGTTGAATTGCCCAGCAAAAGCAATGATGATGAAAATACAAAAGAGGAAGAAGGTATATCCATCGTGCTAACTGCAAACATGACTTTTCAGTTACATATATTAATGAGTTTTAATATCAACCTGTGATTTTTCTCTCTTCTTCGTCCACGACTAGTATGATGGTTCTGGTAGTTATGCATAAATTTGGTTATCTTTATTTTTTATCCAGATGATGATTGCAAGAAATCTCCGAGGAATCTCACTCCACAAGAGATTGGTATCGCAAAATTATCTGGGTTTAGTGAATGGTTCTCAAATCATTTCATCGTGGATGGATTTGGTGCTAACCATAACCTGGATCCCCAGTCTAGCTGTCAGAAAACAATAATATTTGCACATCACTTAAAGGTTCTAGATGGAATACAGGTAAGCTGTTTCATGTTTCTCATATAGGCCTTATCTGTCATCATGCTATTAGGTGGTTTGTCCTCACTTAAGGATGTATTTTGATTGTCAATATATTAGTGCTATTCGATCCCATTCACATATTAGACAATAGCATCATGAACTATGGACAAGGGTTCCAATCAAAATTATGATGGTTATCTACTTCCGTAGTTTGAAATGTATAAGCCTCAGTACTTCTCAAGAACAATTGAGATTTATTGCGATCATGCTTAAGTATTATTCAAAAAAAAATTATTGAGTTTGTTGACCACCGGAATCCAGGATGAGACAATTTTATACGTTCGACTGTTTTCACATAGGTGTTTATCTCTGAGAATGGGATCAAATTTGTTCGCATTGATGGAAGCACACTTCAAAGGGAAAGGAAAGAAGCTGTTGATTCTTTCCGTTTGGATCCAGAGGTGCTGCCTCCAGCCCCACCCACCCACCCACCCACCCTTTTGTTGTATTTTCCCCACTTTTCCTATTCCATATGTCCTCCCAAATTTGGTTTAATGTTTATCCATTTTATACTTTTTATTTTCAAAAAGGTGAAGGTTGCAATAATTGGAATTACTGCTGGAGGTGTTGGTTTAGACTTCTCGTCTGCTCAGAATGTTATTTTTGTGGAGCTCCCAAAATCAGCTTCAGAATTGCTTCAGGTCCGTAGCCTTTTTTTTTTCTCTCTGTTTGCTGTTGCAAAAAAAATTTCAACCATTACAGAATGCAGCTTAAGTGGTGGAACATATTTGGTTACTTTCATAGTTATTCTGGTAGAATTAGAATTGTAATGCCAATGTGTTATTCTGGTAGAATTAGAATTGAAATGCCAATGTGATCCTGAATTCCTGATTGTTAATTTGTGCACACATTAGTATTCCCTCCGTTCCAAATTAGAAGTCTGTTTTGGTTTTCTCCTAAGTCAAACTTATCTAATTTTGACCAAGTCTATACAAAAATGTAACAACATTTTTAACGCCAAATTAGTTTCATTGAATCCACCATGCAATATATCTTGAGAGTGCACTTATTTGGTATTGTAGATGTCAATATATATTTCTATAAACTTCGTCAAACTGTCAGAGTTAGAAAAGTTTGACTTAGGACAAAGCCAAAGTGTCTTTTAAAATTTTGGAATGGAGGGAGTAATTAAGAGGTTGCTGAGAATATCTTTCACTGTGTTGCTATTAGGCTGAGGATAGAGCTCATAGACGTGGCCAAACAAATGCGGTCAACATATATATATTCTGTGGAAAGGTCAGTTCGTTTGTTTTCCTTTGCAATTTGTTCTGTAACTTGTCATTGTAATAGCAAACATAATAATGTTGGTCTTGCAGAACACATCGGATGAATCACACTGGCTCCAGTTAAACCAGAGTCTGTTCCGTGTCTCGTCTTTGATGAATGGAAAAAAAGATGCTGTAAGGGAGATTGAGGTAGGTCACACATTAAGACCCTGTTTTTTTTTCACAAAGTTCAGAATATTTGTCGTTTGTAAATTGCCATGTTATACTATCGTTTGACAGATTGGAAGGGCTGTTGTGAGATCTAAGCTTGTAGTGTGTAGCCACTAGCCAGTGTCAGTTAACCTGGGATATGTACCAGCCTAACAGGCAACATTCAGTGCCTTAATAAATCTGATAGAGTACACTAATTGGAATATTAGCCCCTTAAAAAATCTGCTGAAGAGTTTGTATGATAAGGATCATTCCTCTTTTATCTATTCTTCGTTCTTTCTTTGTAAGGTTGATCAAGTGTGCCAACTTGAGGAAATCAAGACCACCGAGGAGGAAACACAATGCAAACTTCATCCTTCGGAGAATCATAATGCAGGTAAAACTAATGCTGATTGCTGAACCCATGTCGATAACTATCTGATTTTACTAAAACAAATGCTGAGTTGTTTGAGGTTCATGCAGATTTGACCCATGGACCAAAATACCTTTTGGAAAGTGATGATTTGTCCATCAATGGTTTTCTTGGCATCGAAGATTTGGAACTTGACTCGGATTTCACCATTAGGACAATTCCTCTTGAATTTGAGGTAAAAAGGAGATGCTCCATTTAATATTTGTCAATTGCTTCATACTTGCCATTTGTTATTTCTTACTTATTGATTATTGATTGACAAATGATTCTTCATGTGCTTATTTCCCTATATTAGGATGAAAGACCTGGCACATCCTTGAAAAATAATCCAACTCCAACAGTACTTGAAGACAGATCTTGTATTGATGTTTCTCTTTCGCCAGCTGCAGCCTTTTGCTCTGTGATTTCTAGTTGTAAATCAGTAAAGGTGATAAACTTTCTTTGCTTTCTTTAATCATATGACGTTTATACATAACAATCTAATTGCTGAAAAATGTTAGGCTCGTAAGAGGCTTTCTGGAAATTCTGGGTCCTTAAGTCAAGCTGCACCTGTTCCAGATTTTCCAATTCAAGTGGAATCTCTGCGTTTTGAGGTTAAAGCACTTTTTTACCTACTTGTTTGTTCTATCTTTTGTCTGTTATTGTGACTGTGCTCTTTCTATTTTTCGAGGTTAAAGCACTCTGAGACCTAGGAATATTAGTTTTTTCTTTGATGTTATTATGCTGTGGGGAGAGGAGGGGATAACTACTGCAATGTCAGCCCTTTCATAATCTGCACTCGTTTTGGGAGATGGCAGATGCATTTCGTGTTCTCTTAGGTGAAAAGAATATGATTGCATGTGCTATGCATGCATTATCGTTAATGGGACTAAGAGGCTTTTTTGTTCTTGTATTTGATAAAAATATGACAGTAGTTAGGAAGCTAGTCGATTTATTTTTCTGTAGGATATTGACATGGCTAGCTTAGAGAGGAGAATGGGAATGGGGGGAAAAGAATAGTGGAGATAGAGACTGTTGAAGGTGTGGGGCTTGTGAACTATCCTGTTGCTGACTCAACTATGCATGTGCGCTGGATGGCCATGTCAGTGAAGCTTGAACATGTAGCTGTCCCGTGAGCTAAAATCACAGTGATTTAGGTCGAGAAAGTTGGATTTTATCTTTTCTTGATAGCAAGTGTGTAAAGCATGCTGTTTCATAGTTAAAGATGAGATTTTCTTCACTAAATTCGTCTGAAGTATCATCATCTTTTGCAGGTTAGCCGGCACACAGGCCGAATCCACTTGTACAGTTGTGTTCCTGGACATGATTCAAGACCCAAACCACTTTGTGAAAATTTTCTGCCAGAAGAATTGAATTCACCTTTGTGTTCTCCCAGTGACGTTAAAACAAGAACTCTGCTCTTGAAAAAGATTCCTGCATTTTGCAATGTGTTCAAGGCATTCATCAAAGAGTGGTTGGCACTAAGACCAATTGATCAGAATAAATTGCTTGGAAAGCCATTACAACTTCCCTTGAGCCTTGAGTTGTGTTTTCTGAAAGATAGCATCAACCATAGCACAGAAGTATGGACCTGTTGACTTCATTTGATTCTTCTCTTTACACACGCAATCCGGCTTTGCTTATGAACATTGCACGCCATGTTCAATAACAGTTCTGTTCATTTTTCTTTTCCAAAGAAATTCTACATATCTAAATGATACACGTCTTTGTTCAATGATACAACATGCAATTATGCAGAATTTGCTCAAGGATGTCAAAATATTCTGAAATCCATCTTCATATTAACCCCACCAAAAATCCCCTTCTGGCAACCCAAATTATATATTTTGGATATGGTAACTACTACCATATTGTACTTTAGGTAGGAATGCTGGAACTGGTACATGCTATTTTAAGTTTTTGACTATATGTATTCTGTATCATGGCACATTTTGGTATAGAATCATAATTGTTTATAGCCCACTTATGTCACCTGACGCTGTTATTATAGATCAAGCTACTTAATTCAATTAAGGGTTCAAATAGTGTTCAGTGTAAAACAAGATTCATATGGGTATAACTTTGTTAGCCTATTACAGTTGCTCAGGCCTTAGTTAGCATTCAGTGCTGTTTTTTCACATTCGGCTATTGTAATGTTTTTACCTCTTGAAATGTTATTAGTTTTGCTACACACTGAAAGCTCATTATGTCCAAAGCAAGAGCACACAAAATCATCATGCTAAAACAGTATCTGTACATATACGAGAAGCAGCACTCCATGCATGTCACCTTTTGCCAGCTGTACTAATCAGTAGCAGAGCCAGAAGCTTTTAGGAGCCCAGGCGATCCTTATTATGCAAAAATAGTTTGCTAGCAAATTACAGTGGTCTTCTTTGATGTATAGATATAGATAATTTTCTTTTGAACTCTTTGCGCTCTTATGTCTCCTGACGCCGGGGTCGCCGGGCGGTGGCTCTGCCACTGGTACAAATAGTGTTTACCTATTTTTAAAGCTTTGCATGAAATGCACAAGTGTTTATTTTGGTGTTCCTCAACTTGATGAATATCTCTGTCACTTTTTCCTTGTTCTGGTCTGCTTTCATTTTAGGGGATACTTAAAGGGGGAAGTAAGAGGCGTGCCGCACCATTGAATGGTGTCAGTAATCCTTTGCCAGAAAATGCTGAATGGAGACAGGTGGTGTTGCGTAATGGCACCTGTAAAGAGAGACAGTACACTCAGGGCTGGACCATTGATGATGAACCTCTCTGCAAACTTTGTCAAGGACTTTGCAAGTAACGACTCCTTGTGTTTAGAAGTAAATCCTGTTTTGTTATTATAAACAAATAATATTTGCTCACAATAATGTTGTTTTACTTGTTTCAGTGGAAGGCTTGCAAAGTCACCAGAATATTTTGAAGATCTATTCTGTGGTCTAGCTTGTTTCCAGGAATACAGGTTAAGAACCAGTGGCAGGGCCCTGCGGCAGGTGAGTCTTCTTTCTGTTATCCACATAAGTGAACAATTTTTGTAGGTGGGGTTGAATAGTTAGGACTAATTTTCAGTTATATAAAATCAAAGAAAGTTGCAAATTAATTCATATACATGTAATAAAGCTTCTTGGTAATTATCTGCAGGCACTGTTTCAAATAGAACGAGGTAAGTGCTCCCAATGCAAGCTCGATTGTTGCAAGCTTGTCAAACACATTAAACCCTTACCCTTGGAAAAACGAGAAGAATACATCAGAAAGGTTGCTCCAAACATTGCGAGGAGAAAGAAACTGTAAGTGTTGCACATTGATATCATGCTTTTCCATATTCTTTTGCATATCTAGGGGGCTAGCGGAGTCGTGTGGTTTAAACTCTTTGAGTATTATCATGTATGGATAATTATCCTGTTAATTTGTTGCTTTGATGCTGATTTCCTGCATCTACCACAGCCTAGATAAGCTTGCCCATGAGCCAATTGATGGAAATGCTTGGCATGCAGATCACATAATACCTGTCTATAAAGGAGGAGGTACGGTATATGTGCAAAAGTTTTGTGCAGTTGACTCTTGAATGGCATGATAATCTTTCTGATAAGTTTTGTGCAGTTGATTGTTGAATGGCATGATAATCTTTCTGATTTTCTGTCAGGGGAATGTAAACTTGAGAACATGAGAACACTGTGTGTGGCTTGTCATTATGAGGTCACCAGAGCTCAGCACAAGGAACTAAAAGAAATAAGAAAGAAGGCTAAAGAGCACCTGAAAAACGCCTTGAATAAACAAAAGGATAAAGTTAGTAGTCTCTCCTGTAGACTTTAATTATTTTTGTATCATTTTTGCAAATAAAAAAGAGCAATTTTTCTTTTGAGCTACGTACTTCTCTGTGAAAGCTAATAGAATGAGTAGAATGATTTCTCCATTACTATATGCTGTACTTATACAACAGTGAGTGTACATGTAAGGAAAAAGAATTAAAGTGTTCTAATGTCATCTAGCCTAAACAATACAGGTTGTACATGCATATATGATCTGCTATTAAGGCCAATAATGGCCGAGATATAGGAACTAGTAATGGCTAGGATATTGTCTTTTTAACACTCTGGACGACCATATGCAAATTATATGTTGTTGCCCCCGTTTGTGTATTTGTTTCTCGTACTTTGTCTTTTGTTATTACTATTATTCCATTTCTTATCTTTCCTTTCACTGCAGCCAAGTGAAGCAACAGAAGAACTAGATGACGAATTTTTGCTGGTAGCCGTCCCGGGCAGTGCCTACTCCTTAGGATTTCCTGGCAATGTTGCTGATGAAAAAGCTGCCGAATAGGGCATCTTTCATGTACCTTGAGGTTATTGTTCAAAAGGGTCGCTGGTCTTTTTCACTTGCGCCCCTTTTTTGTGCATGCTAAATGCAATCAAGCGCTTGTTGTACTTTGTTTGTGTGTGGGTGTCTTGACAACAATGTACATCTTTAGTGGCGACTTTGTTGTCAATTGAACAATATTACTGCAGTTATGGAGCAGTTTTAACAGGGGAATTGAATAAACATACATATACTTCATCTTGTCAGATGTTGCTGTCTGGAAATTTTGAACTAGTTTAAGTTACATCAGGTTCTGATAAAAAGGGGGAAAACAAGAGTTTAAAACTTTTGTACATGCAACTGGACATTTTGTTTGTCGTTTGCTATTCCCTCCGTTCCAAATTGTAATTATTTTGATTTTTCTAGGTACTCTGCTCATAAAGAATGTAAATCTCACTTTTCAAATATTCTCAAATTTGACTAGATTTGTAGAAAATAGTATTATTATTTGTATCTCTAAATAGGTTCTTTATGAAAACATAGTTCATAATTAATCTAGTGATACGTCTTACGTGTTATAGCTTATTATGTTTTTTTATATGTTTGGTCAAAGTTAATACTGATTGACTTATTGAGAAGTTGCATTCTTTTTGGGATGGAGTACGTAAATTTTGCTACTATATCTAGATAGATCATATATTTAGATACATATCAAAAACTATGTACATGAATGGAGTAAACCTGTATGATTTATTTAACGTGTTAACAAAAACGAACCTGTGACATGCAAAGCTCCCGAGTAGGCTAGTCTGATAATGCTACGCTCCGCGAGACTTGGGAGGAGCACGGCCATGGTACTGCTCCCGCTTGCTTACTGCAGTTGGGAAGCGAAAAAAAAACTGCTCATGCTCTGCTCCCTTGTCGTCCGGTACCTCGCCGCTGTTCTCCGCCTCCACCGCCCTTCTCTCCTGATGCTCTCCTCTCCCCGGCTGCCGCCTCCACCCTTCGCTAATTCACAGCCGGCCGACCTCAATTTGTGCTAGGAGCACGATTCTCTAGTGACGACCCCGATCTGTGCAAGGAGCTCTCGATTCACCGCCATCAAACCTGGCTTGGCCACTTGCTTACTTTATGCTGCTGTGGCCTGGAGATGGAGCAGCAAGAAGCTGTACAAAACAGTTTAAACGGGGACCTAGAGCGGCTGGAGCAACAAGCAGCAGGAGCTAAAGTGACGAGAATCGCTTTAGAGCGCTACCAAATTGGCCCCGCCGAATAATCTGTTGCGGAATCTCCAATCCGTCTCCATCGTTCAAATGTTTGATTGACGACCTCCAAACTGAACATGTCGTAGTTTCAAAACTAGTAAAAGACAGTAAATTATGGACAGTTCTTTTCTTCCATATGAAATCAGATTTTTCTCATCAGTCTTTTTCTTCTGTATTTCTGTACAACAGTGCATTGCTTCCATACATGACTTATTTTTTTATCTGTAGAAGATTCAACCAAAATATCTGGTCAGGAAACCTTTTCGGCCAATTTCCCTAATGTTTCGAGAATCAGTCTGAAGCACCATCCTTGCAAAATAGTAAATTCAGTAGCTCGTGCTATATAAGTTAGGTGAACTACAGAGCCGATTTCATGTCTCACTGCAGAAGAACTCCTCGGCTCTGTCCAAGAAAGAAGCTGGGATCTTTCTATGCAACATGAAGCTCGATGAAGCTTCTTGAGCTCTTTGCTTCAGAGGCCCATCGTCAACTGCTCTTGTTCCCCTACCATCCTTTTGAACCTTATTTCTGTTGAACCTGATGCCCCCTGAAATACCCTTCCCAACAACTGGCCGTCCAATTTTGCGGCTTATCCTTGTTGGGATGTCACCTTGTGAGTTCCTGATCTCCAGAATGCTTTCATTGGAATTGTTTCCAGAACCATCCACAGCAATGGAATCTGGAGAATTTGATCCAGAAGTTTGGCAGGACTTGAGCAAGCAACGCAGCATATCCGTGCTTATTTCCTGCTGTACAACACTTCGGTTCTGATCGCAACTGTAGCAAACGGCGATCAGAGCAGCAGCCAAGATGGGCATCAACTCAGGGTCGCTGAAGAAAACAAATGGCAGGTCGCACACCTGTTTTCTAACTCATCAGATTTTTTGCACAACTCACACAAATTGAAAGGGACATGGCTACACAAACAATTATTTACCTTGTGAAGTATGGTGGGACTCTTTCCCCACCGAAGAACAGCTTGGTTCCCAGCATGGAACAAAGAAAAGTAGCCAAGAAGTAGCAGTGACTCTAGAAGCAGCAAACCAACCTAAAAAAAATAGCACAAATCCTTAAACCTGAGAACAGGGGAGCGAACAAAAGGTGCAGTTGTTAAAAAAAGCAGCCATTTCAGGAGAAAAGTGCAAACAATAGTCAAGCATGAGATTCAGAAAATGGCAGTATGTCCAAATTTCTTGGTAATAATATCCAAAAGGGTCACAAATGGTCAAGACCGACAGAAACTATAACATGATCCAGTACCCCAAGTCATCAACTTTCTACGACATGCATTCATAATGGACATTACAAGGTGGAACATTTTATACGCACGCTATTTTTTTATAACAAATATGCACACTATGAGTCATATATCTAATGTAAAACGCCTGTTCAAGAAGTACAGATAATATTAAGACCATAGTTAATTAAAAAGAGAGTTAGTATTAAGACCATAGTTAATAAAAAGAGCTGGTAGCTATATTCTAATGTCTCCTCCAGTGACATAAAAACTGCCACCTAGTCAGACATACAGCAAACTACACAGGCGCAACTTGCTATCATTATAGAGAAGGAAGAACTGAATGTGCAAAACTAGTAGAAAGTATTGCACAGAAACAAGTTGAAAGTGACTGAATGTGCAAAACAAGTTAAAAGTAATTGGTGCAACTTGCTATCATTACAGACAAGGAAGAACTGAATGTGCAAAAACTAGTAGAAAGTATTGCACAAGAACAAGTTGAAAGTAACTGATGTGCAAAACAAGTGGAAAGTAATTGAAAAAAATGGATATTTTAAACTTAAAATCGACCACAAAAGAACTCATGTTGGGAACAGATGAAGACACCTGATCGTTTGGCACTCTCCATTTGTTCATGCAATGACTCAGAAGGAAGCTGATTAAATGGAAGAACTCCATCTTTAGATCTGATCTAGCCTGAAAATAATGCATAACCAGTAAGAAAACAAACTTGTGGAGGTAAATAAAAAACATATGTAATATTCTAAAGATTCCCATAGCCATATTGTGGGGTTTTCCAGACAGAAAAATTATGCCTGGAACCTGTCTATAACTAAATTTATAATGTTATCATCGCCAATGATTAGTGAAAGAAAGCAGGTAAGTTTGCGCCTGAGACTACATTGATTTCAGTCACTGATAACATCCGTCCTTTTCATGAAGAGCACTTACCAGCATGTGCTGCAAAAGGGTTATATCCAAACGCGCCACATTATTCAAAACTTTCAATACGCCAGTGGCTACTTCTTCAAAATTTGACGGAAGAATCGCCAATGTCTGAAGAACGAGTTATTTAATTTTCCAGCAAGATCCATAAAATGCAATAAACATGCAAGATTTACTCTGCTAACTACAGAAGAAGATAGATTCCCATGTCATGAAAACTTTTGTTTCTGCTTATGTTGTAACAAAAGCCTAATAAGAAATAAAAGCACGCTAGAAAACGTGTACACACCATTTTAACATTTTTGTTACAAGAACACAAAGTACCTATTTTGATGATGTGGTATACCCATTGCTAGGCATATCAAATAATCTAAATGTGCGTGTGAAAAACATAAGATCTATACAGATATTTAGTTTGGAGACAGCATAACAAAATTACTAAAAAAAAACATTGCACCTCAATATAGCAGGTGGACAAACCTGTTCCGATGATGACCTGTTGTTGTTTGCCTGGAGCAACACAGCAGTCAAAAGTGATGGTAGACTAACAAGGCCAGTCTCAGCCATTGCAGAAAGTAAGAGCATTACAGGCTGCTTAAGATTCGTCTCATTGCCTTTTCGAGGACTATGATACAATGCACATACATTATTCACCTTTCTTCCTTCAAGAAAACTGTCCACTGTGCTATTTTCATCTCCCTGGCTAGGACTTTCAGAATGCTTCTTTGTAGTAACGCCCAAATCAGACGGTTGCATTGCTGAGTTGTTCAGGCCAGCAGAGATCACTAATAAGTCTTTACTAGCTTCATCAACCAATTTTCTGTCCACTGGAATGCTAAAGTCATGTTGTCTACAGGATTTGCTATCTTCAGCCAGTTCACTGTATATGGTTGGCGATTTGGCATCACCAGATTGATCAAGTGTCATTGATTGGCACCCCACACTGTCCTGTGAACTAAGATATTCATATTCTTGCACTATATTTCCACCTAGTGTCCTGCATTTGCAGGACTCCCAATCAATAGTAGACAAATTTCCGGGTTTCGATGTTAAGACAGACAAAAGGTTGAGACCAAACAGTATAGATGATGGGAGTGGGGATCCTTCCACCTGTGGCCTATCATAAAGGGCAAACAGATCTCTCAGACGATGTATTATTTGATAAGCTACAATCAGTTCTATCAAACCTCCCTGCATTTGAAGTTGTTCATCATTGATGTGTACATGGCCAACGATCATGGTCACAGTCCATAAAAATCCATCTAACACTTCACCTGATGACTCTGTATTCTCAATTGATGTTTTATTAGACAGAAGATTTGAACTTCCAGAGTTGGATGCTGCCACCTTAATATAATTCTCCAGTGATGCTGATAGCATGGGAATAATTGGGGGTAAAAGATTTTGTACTAGAAAATAAGTTCGATTAGCTGGAAGTGAGAGCAACACTCTCAACAGGCGCAAAAGGTAGACAGTGACTTGACAAGCTCCAGGCTTTGAAGTATGTGATGCAGGTAATGCGGACTTAATGAAGTCAAGCAAACCAACTTGTCTTGATGCATGCAGCTCAAGATCCTTCCTTCTAAATACTAAACCAAAATAAAGAGAAAGCGGTATTAGTAAACATAGTTAGCACTATAGTACAAACAATACATGAGGAATGAGAAGTACCTTTGTTATGTCACTGACAATCAAACCAATACTGGCAGCACCTTCTTTTCTAGCTTGGCGAAGTCTCTGAAGGTCTTGAAGCCATCTACTTAACTTAGCTTTGGCAGCTCCAAGAGCAGCCCTGTGCGTGATTCCTGTACTTTCACCTATGGATGGTTCAATAAATTCATGCTTTAGAGCCATTAATCTCTGGCGAATCTTTTTAATCCTTCGTTTTGTCAGCACATTATTTGATGACTTAGCCATAGAATCTGCAGCGCTGGAATTGCCAGTTGTCTGTGAATCTTCTCCGCTGTTAGCAGAACTAGAACGGTTTTGGCCATCTTTACTTGGAAAGCGACGCTGAAAAGGTGAAGGCTGATCCCTAAGATCCATTGAGGCTCGCTCCCGTATTTGTTCTAGGTAATACTTGCGCCGCTGCTCACTTTCACGAAGCTTTTCAGCTAACTTTTGGGCTAAAAGTTCAGCTTCCTCTTGTTGCGCTTTTGCTCTTATCTCTTTTCGACGTTGTTGTTCTGCAGCCCTTGCTTCTCGTGCAGCACTAGATGCTTTGCGCTCCTCTTCTCTTCTGAAAATAGCTTCTTCTTTCTTGCGCTGTATTTCAGCAAGGCGCTGCATCTTCTCAGCTTCCAGGAACTTTCTTCGTTCCAAAACAGCTTCTTCCCTTGCAGTGTCCTCCTTTTGCTTTGTTTTGATCACCTGTAGCTTTTCAGCTCTCCGCATTTCAGAGTCATGAAGTTTCTGCCTCAGCAAGAATTTCTTGTTTTCTTCATTCAGTGACGTAATAAAACGGACCTCATTGACCTTAGTACTCTCATCACCAGCTCTTTTTGCAACCTGAGCAAGATATGCTTCGTGACGAGATTCGCCACGTTGATGGCGTGCATTCATTACTTCTCGCAGTTTTGAGCTGCGCACAGCCTGCCACTCATTGACACGATGCAACTTTTCAGAGGTACGCTGTAGCCTCTGAACCCTCTCGCTCTCTAGTTGACTCCTGATTCGCAGTGCTCGGGCATGCTTTTCTTCTGCTTCTTTTTTCATATCCAAAGCACTTCTTTTTTTCTTTTCAGGAGACATCAACTTGTCATGTAGAACACGAGCACGGTCTGTAACTTTTCTTCCAACACCAGGAGAATGAGAAACACGAGAACTCCGTACAGGAGATTTCAGTATATCTTCCCAGTTTCTTTTCTCCTTCCAGGCATCCATGGACTTCCAAGGTGCTGTAATTTGTTTTTCCTTTTCAAGATGAACTGTACTCTTTTTAACAACATCGGTTGACTTGAGCCTGTCAAATTTGTTTTCTGGCAACTCCCTGTCCTTCTTAAAGGTGTGTTTCTCTATTTCAGATATTGGTTCTAGTGACCCTCTTCTACTCCTTGCAGAATAGGAAGGCATACTTTGTGGATACGATTTACCAGACTTGAATGCATCCCTACTTAGCTTCTCACCAGCAATCTTTTTTCTCACTAGTATCAGGAAGTTTCACCTGACTCTCAACTTTCAAACTTATATTCCTAACAGTTGCTGATGCTGTAGTCAGCTTTGACGAGAGCTACTCAAAACTTCTTCAGAAGAGCTGGATGTAAATCTCTCTGCTGTTATACCAGCCTGCTTGCATGCCAGTTCCAATTGGATTCTCTGGAAGGCCTCTAGAGATGAAGACAGTATTTCTTGCCTGTGTGGAGAACTTGTCATCCTTCTGACCTGCTTATAAGATGTACCAAACATGACTTTAGAGCACTGAAATACAGCTGGAAAAATTTATCACGGAAGGAAGGAAAGGAAAACATGCAGCTATTAATTTTGTAAGAGTTCTCAATCTAGCAACACATCACAGTGAAGATACCATTCAATATGCATGCCCTACATCAGCAGGCTTTTCCAGTATGTCAATGAATCATAATAGACGGAAGTGAAAATAAAACACAAGAAATCAGGATGCATAGTGAGAAAACAGACCTCCCAAGACAAGGCATGAGGTCTCCTATGGTCAGCTTTCACAGCCATTGGCATGCCCTCCTTTGGTACACCAGGAGATTTTTTGGTATTATCAAAATGCTCTGCTCTCGATTTAAGTTCTTGAAAATCGGAAATAGCTTCTTCGAGGACAAGTATGGATTCATTAATCTGTTCCATGTCACATTCTAGTTCACAGAGGAGGTAAAGTTCATCAACAGCCCTATTCAGATTCTCAAAAAGAAAACACCATAGCCTCTGCCTGAATCTTTCTTTGCTCTCAGCAGTTTCAGATCCAAAATCCGCAGAAGCAGAAACTGGTGCTTGGTCATGAAGTAATGTTCTACCTTCCATGGAAGATGTAACTGGAACTTCATGATCATTATTGGAGCAGGATAGGGAAACAGAGTCAGCTGAGGCTGTTGAACCATTAACATTTGAAATACTCTTATCATCATTGGGTGTCTCTGTTCCCTGTACCATAATTGGAGATGTCTCATCAATTGTAGTTGTAGTACAAGTGTCCATCTCCACTTTGAGTTCACTTGCATCTTTTTGCACATTTTTTAGATGTGCAACATCTTCACTATGTCTGTGGCCTCTAGAAGAATTATTATCTCTGAATGAATCTGAAGGTAATGATAGACCTGGAACTTCATCAAAGTCTCCAAACTTGACAGGAGTATTGGACAAAACACCTACTGACTCTGTTTTGGGAGAACATTTTACATGCTGAGAAAGATCTGCACGTTTTGCAGGACTGTCTGAACCGGTGGTGGGTTCATGAGGCAGTGAAGGATCTACATGATCAGCCAGATCAGTTTTGGGAGGTTCACTTGTTTCTTCAGCCACCACCAGTTCTTCAGGTCTTTCAACTATATCCTCTGAGGCTGAAGCATTTAAGCCACTATTCAGGCCACTGACACTAGTGCCTAAATCATTGCATCCTTCACCAACATTTGTTGTTTCTCCACTACCAGATTCATCAACACCAACATTAGCATTTATGCTCGGAGGTGGGTGTTGCGGCTTGTCATGCCACCTTGAACTGTCACTGTTACAGTTAGCACGTGACCGTGATGGTAAGTTTGGAATTTTATGGCTGGAACCACCTGAAGACCTCTGCAATGTGTATTTTGAGCTGGACCGATGCTTCTGTAAAATGGTTGTATAGTGAATTAACAACAACAATAAGAATGGGCCCAGCATAATAATGCAGAAACATACGAGAAAATAATGACCAGAGCAAAATAAGAGAAAATAAGACAGGCAAAGAACATTACCTTTTTCACTTCAAACCACCCTGATCCCAGGTCATCCACATCGCCATTGTCATTATCCATAACCAGTTAACCACCGAACGATTATCAGTGGTTCCTTAAAGCATTCTTGCTGTCCCAGACAACAATTTCGTGATAATACACTTGCTGCCAAGGAAATATTTGAGCTAAATTATTTTTAGCGTGACAAAAAGGGATTGCAAAATCACACATTTTTCAAGACAGTCGATTGGTGATTATGTCTAGTCCCTTAGCTAAAAACTACTAACTGACACAGACAAGAATCGCTAAACCCTAAAACCAAAATGCCCTATAAGTTTAATAAGGAACTAGACAGAAGAGGGGTTCACTTGGATCATTGACAGATAAACATCCAAAATGCACTATAATTATTAAGCACGCGAGAAGAACCTAACTGAACAGGGACGGGTTAATTGATGGACTGGGTTTGTGGGGCACCACGAAGCACAAAGAACTACAAGCTACAACCAACACGACTGGCGGAGAGAGAGAAATGAGCATGGACTTGATCGAGAACAGCACCAACTCTTCAACGACCAAAAATAATCCGTCCGTCCGTCCAAGAGGGCGAGGATCACTCACCGACACGAGAAGGAACGCGTCTTCACCGAACCCCCGACAGAGAGAGAAGCAGCGGCGGCCGAGGATCTGACGGGGAAGGAGGTAGCGGCGCTGCGCTTCGCTTGGCGGCGGCGAGGCGCTGGGCCTCTTGGAGTTAACGCCCTGTCGCTCAGCGCAATCGAACGACTCTCACCGACGCCTAGTTCGTAGCTCGCCAGGCCCAGTGAGGCCCAACAACGCCACAGCAGTCAGGAGCGCAGTGGAAAATTCCTCCCTGACCCCTGCGTCGGCCGCGCTAGCCGACGCTCTCCGTGTCCGGCGGTGCTACCTTCGTCGTCACGGCCCCCGGCCGGTCTCTCTTCCCGTGCTCTGCTATGTGCTCATGGCCTGCGTCCGTACCTCTCCTTGTGTGCTCTGGGGCTGGGAGTAGTGGGGAGGGTGGGGCTTCCCCAAATCCCAAGGAAGACCTTGATGTGCATTTGGCTTTTAATTGCTGCAATTAATATAATAATTGCGTGTTAGCGCGTCCTGCACTGCATCGCCTTTAGTTTGTTCCAAATCGTTACCTGATCGGTTGATACATTTAAAGAAATCAATAGTTGGCGATGAATATAAATAATTTATATTATCAGATTCACCGCGACAATTTTTTTCGTAATGTACAATTAATTTTTATTTAAAATGCTGTGTTTTCTATGAAATTGCTAATTAAAGTGTTACTTTTGTAGATTGCGTCGGCATCCTAAACGTAAATGCGACCTTTACAAAAGAAAAATCACTGCCGCATGGACTTAGGAGATGCTAATTCGCAGCCGCACTTTGAATATATTTAGGGAGATTTTTCATTCAAAGGAAAAAATAGACACCGAAAATGGAGCCACACTCAAATTTCAGCCCAAGATGACTCCAACCTGAAGTTCTGAACCCATCAGCAGCAAGATGTACAATTTCTTATAACATTTTAATGTAGCAAACAGACCTAACTTCGCATTTCCTTGGAGAACAAACTTGATTTAATCTGTGGCAGATCCTTGCAGGTAAATTTCATGACAGCCGTGAAATCTTAAGGTAACACTTTCACTGCCAGGGGAGCTTAACTCCCATTGAAAGCTTACAATGTGAAATTTAGCTAAGGCAACAAATGCATATGCATTTACAGGCAACAATGGTGAATACAAAGAATTATCTACAACAGTTAGTCAATTGCACACTCAAATGTACATGCTGGCCCTGTTCGTTTGGCTGAATTTGGCTGAAAAAACAAGCCAAAACACTGTTCCGGCTGAATTGTTATCAGAGAAAAACGTTGTTCCGGCTGAAAAAAGAAGCCGAACAAGCCGGATTTAAAGACGATCTACCTTCCTACCCGCCGTCACCATCAGAAGCTTCACCAGGACGCCACTCTATTAGAGCTCGGTTCTGTGACTTCTCATCAATGTGGATGGAACTGGGAGATCTGGCGCCGCCTGACGGTCCTTCGATGGAGCAATTAGACAACTCTATCAACATTGCAGAGAACCCGCAAGAGCAAGATTTGCAAACTGTGCCCAGGTTCGTCATGGAGTTAAATCTCTACAGTGAAATGGGGGTGCATTAGTACTATGATGAAGTGACCAACCTCAAAGTACAGAATACTCTAAAGAGTACTATGTCATGTACTCTTTCCGTCTAGAAAAGAATGCAACTACGGGTTGCGTGCCAGCAAAAGTAGTTCACGTTTGACCAAAATTTCAATGAATAATATCCACATTTACGACTCCAAAATAATTTATTATGAAAATATATTTCGTAATTAATCTAATGATATTTATTTGATATCATAAATATTTATACTTTTTTATCTATAGTTGATCGAACTTAAGATAGTAAACCATGATGCTGTGCTAGAATTGCATTCTTTCGTGGACGGAGGGAGTATATGTATCACGTCCATCTACATGCTCATACCTCTAAAGCAGCCTTCAACTTCTTAATCTCCATAGCTTGTGTGTGAGCTAGTTCATGTGATTCCTGCAATCACCTAAGTGCCCCACTCAATTTTGTCTTCTCTTTGGAGACCTGTTTCAAACATCAATAACAGAACAGAAATGTAAGACACCAGACAAAGAAGTCACTAATATAACAAGACCAGGGCAACACGTCCATTTCCTTACAAGTTATGTCAGTAACTTCAAGTTTGAGATGGTAGAACAAAAATTTCAGAAACATCTGCAGCAATAATTCCAGGTGCAATCACACGAGGTGAAAATTTTCTATATCACTACCTGAGTCTCCAGCTCCTGAATATGTTGAATAGCTGCCTGCTCAATGCAAGATCGACGCTTGTATTCTTCCTCAAGCATGCCTGTTATCTGGTACCTTAGTTCAGGCATTTGTTGGGTGAGATCTTCTGCATCCTCTTTTGCCTTTAACTTTTGTTCTCGAAGCTCTTCCTAATAAACAAACAAAATACTTACATTACACAATCAAAGGGAAAGTTGTATTCAAGTATGAACCAGAAAAAATAGACAGCTAGTCAGCTACTTCAGTTTATGAGTATTAATTATGGCATGCACTATAGCGAAATATATTTGGCTTGCCTTGACACCTACCCAGACCCTTATGAGGCGGGAGCTCTCAGACTTGTATGCGCCTTGTTTGTTTTTGGAAGATGTTTGGGAACAAGGATGGCACTTGACCAAAATTAGAGCTTATACCAATTTCTTATTACATGTGGTAAACAACCAATTACCTTGAGCTGCTCAATTAGAAGTTCAGATTCTTCATTTCGTTTTGCCATCTTTTCAAGAACTACATCACCATTTTCACATTCTGCATGAACACCGTTCTCCAATGTTTTGTCAATTTGCTGCCCAGATCTAGAAGGGGATTGTTTAGGAGCTCTTACAGGCAACAGCTCTTTCAGTTGCTTATTCTCCAGTACAAGTTGATCAATAGTTCTCTGTGCCTCGTGTAGCTGGAGCTCATGTTCTCCCAGTAATTTGTCAATTTGAGCTCTGTGCTCAGCAGCATGTTGGGTAAAGCTTTCGGCGTCAAGTAGCCTCTGCTCAAGATTAGTCAAATCAAGTTTCAAGCTCTCGATTTCACATTGTGAATCTAAAGCTGTACTTTCAAGCTTCTCTATCTGTGTGGCTGCCTTCTGCAACTCCTCTTCTTTACATCTGACTTCTTCCATCAGAAGCCAGCACTGAGAATCAGATCGTATAAGCTCATTGTCCATCACTCTCACTCTTTCTGGGAACTTTTCAAGTTCAGTCAGCTTCAGTTCAAGACTGTGAATATGCTCCCCCATGATGTTTGCTTCAACATTCCGTATATTTAACTGATCCTGCAAATAGTCTGCAATTGCAGTCAGTAAAGACTGCCAAAGTAACTAGATATAGAGTAGCCAGACCAATGAGAAACAGAACAATTACTAGTGCATACCAATTTCCTGATAGCAGTTCATCAATTCTGTTTCTAATTTCTCAATATAATGCCCGTCCTTCTGGCAGGCCGAAGAGGCTGCATTTTTGTCGTGCTGTACTTTCTGCATTAACAATATTATGAACTCAACCAAACAGTTGAACAAATTAATGATACAATTTTACCATTTTCTTACATTATTCAAATGTGAAATACCTTAAAATATTACATACAGGAACTATAAGATCATGGGTACCTCTTTATTCTTTTCTTTTCTATGAAGAACCTTAGCACCATTAGCAGGATAATGGCCGTTGGAGCTACTAGACATCTGCAGCAGCAAAAAACCGCAAGCCCCTGAGAAGTATACACAAAAATGGCATGGCTAAGCTAAAATGACATCTAGACCATTAGCAGGCTAGTGGCCGTTGAAGCTAATAGACATCTGTAGCAGCAAAAAACCACAAGCCACTGAGAATTATACACAAATATGATGCTAAGCTAAAATGGCATCTAGTATATGTAAGTTATAACACATGATAAACATATCTGTCACTAGAGCACCACTGCCATTGTAAACTGAAGAAAAGGAATTGGAGATTTACTAGAACATAGGAAAACCCTGACCTTAAATAGATTCAGATACAATAATGGACACACTACACTACTCTATAACCCTTTGTCAGATTCAAAGATGTGCCGAGGCAAATCTTTGTGATCAGGAGAGAAATTGGCCAGAACAAATCAAAACAAGCATCACAAATTGCAGATTTTGGAGCAGCATATCATGAGGAGAACAAACTAGAGAAGATGATAATCATCAAGCAACCTTTCATGGTTCACTGAAATCGTACCTACAGCAACTGGTAAGCATCCAGTTGAAAATAAACGGGCCAGCTTAAGCCTCTCCAGCTTAATATGTACTACTAAGAGCATCTCCACCAACTTAATATGTACTAAGCTCGATATCTCATTCATAAAGGAAAGGATTTGAGGAACAGCAGGTGGAAGAAAGATATATCCCAAACTTGAGAACACCCGGTTGCTCCAATCCTAAACTTGTAAAGGTCTACCCGACAAATACCCTCCTATATAATAGTTTCTAACTGATTCCCTACCAAGCGCAGTCATCTCACAAGATCCCCGCAAAAGGTCGACCAAAATCCACAAGAGAAGGTTGGGGAAGGCCGCGGGTTCCGGGAGCTGACCTGCTACGGTGCACGAGCGCGGCCTGCAGTGACGGCTCAGGCCGTATCCGTCTCCGGCGATCGCCGGAGAGAGGCGGCTCCGAGGACGGGCACTGGCGGCGGCGCAGCACCAAGGACAGGCACTGGCGTCGGCGCGGGACACGATGTGGCATCCAGCAGCAGGACGACTCGATGATGAAGCCCCAGCCGTGATTTCGCAGCGCTTAAACGCGATTCGGGGCCCTAATCGCTGTTAGCACGGGGCCACGGGCGACCACGGGGGATAAGGTAAGAGAAAGAGAGCGACGGAGCCTCGGAGGGAGGACCCTATCAGCACCTTGCTTGCTGATAGAAATGTGAGGAAGGAGGAGGGTGGACATAGAAAAATGACAGTTTTTTCACCATACTGCCAGTACAACCCAGCCGTGATTTCGCAGCGCTTAAACGCGATTCGGGGCCCTAATCGCTGTTAGCACGGGGCCACGGGCGACCACGGGGGATAAGGTAAGAGAAAGAGAGCGACGGAGCCTCGGAGGGAGGACCCTATCAGCACCTTGCTTGCTGATAGAAATGTGAGGAAGGAGGAGGGTGGACATAGAAAAATGACAGTTTTTTCACCATACTGCCAGTACAACCCCCCAACGAAAAACTGCAGCGGCATAGATTCCCCAATGTGCCATCAACTGAATCAACTCGGCTGAACCCAGGTCAGCTCCCGGAACTACTAGAAGAACATGGTGCCTTTCGTATTGGAGGAACAAAACTTTGGTGTGACTATCGCGATTCCATCGAGCGGCACCGGCATGCTATGGCTGTTCCAGGACCAGTCCATGGGCGGACCACCCCATGGCTTTTCCACCTCGGTGCCGGGCGCCAAGACAGGACCTGCAAGGAGGGAGACTCTGCATCAGTTGTCACCGCGTACAGCTTGTCACCGGCAGCCATGGCTGATCCCAAGCTATACACATCGTCTGGAACGCGTGGGCCGAGGGTGAGGCTAGCGTTCTCCGTGTTGTAGACGAGGGTCGGGGAAGCATGTCTGCCACGGCGCCAACGATTGGTGTCGACAAAGATGGTGGTGCCCAGGGAGGTGAAGGCCATTAAACCAGGCACCGGTGCCGCTAACCGGAGGGAAGGTTCAGACAGATGCCCTGAAGGATCCATGTCGTCGGCGTCGAGCTTGTGGATGCTGTACCCGTCCTTCCAATCGTCCAGAATGAAATACAGGTGCTTACGTCTCGTTGCGTCCAGAATGAAATACAGGTGCTTACGCCTCGTCGTGGCGTAATCCTCGTTCCGCCGCCGCCGCTTGGACGACGAGGACGAGGGCGATACCCCCTCTCCGATCTGCCCATTGCGGCTCCCGGCAGAGAGTTTCTAGCAAGGAAAAGAAGGGTCTTCGATCCCCTATCAACGCAACCCAGATTATGTTCGATATATAGAGCAAACTGTGCAGCATAGTCGAAACAAGAAATAATTTCGATTCTCAGTCGGTTCGGCTTGATTCTTGATTAAAGGAAGAGAACGAGCTCTTCGGTTTAGAGCAGCAATAACGCAATGCATGCTCCAAAAACATCAGTTTGCCCAAATAACTCAGATCAAACTGAGGTAGCAAGATAACATTTTCCATGGTTCAAATTTTCAAGAAGAATCAAAGCCACCACATGTCTCGACTCTCGAAAAAAGTGTTTCTAAGAGTTTTAAGGAAATAAGGCAGCTCTGACTCGGAATTTCATCTTAACATCAACTCATACTAGACATAAACAGTGAGACTAATCACTCAGCTGCAGCAACCTCCTGTCCTCCCATGGCCTCGTCGCCTTCAGCAGGCCTGTCCATCTTGACACCAACATCCTCCTTGGCATAGTCACCATGGACCTGGACATCACAGAGGGCATTAGCTCAAAAAGCCACAGATGAACAGACAAACTTTGCTTCAAGTAATTACCTCCATGAGCTTTCCAATGTCGAACTTTGGTGCTTTCAGGATCTTCACCTTGCGGATGAAGACATTTTGCAAGGGGAATATGCTAGAGGTGGCTTTCTCGATTTCCTTTCCAATGACCTCAGGGATGAACTTGGACACAAGCTCTTTCAAATCACAAGTTGAAGCTTGGTTGCTCATGATTTCAGTCATCTTCCGACGAATCTGCAAAAACAGAAATGGTGTTCACATGACAAGACAAACAAGCTAAGAGAGATTCAAGCCTCTTTAAAACATGAGATATCTCCAGAACTGTCACCTGTCTGATTTGGCTTGCTTGAGCATAGCAAGTGCGCTTCACTTGATTGGGCCGCCTCTTGGTGAACCCAATGCAGAACAGCCGCAGCATGTAGTTATCAGTGGTCTTGACATCAACATGAGCCTCGATAAGTGTCTGCCACTTCTTGACCAGTGAACGGAGCTTGTCCGTGGTGAAGCTCATACCCTAACAAGATGACAAGATGGTTAGAGACATAATATAGAACATAGGTCTCGTAACAGTGTGAAGCAAACTAGAGATCATTACCCAGAAGTTTGTGAGAACATTTCTCCCTTGTACATCCTCTGCACGAAGTCTGATCTTCCTGTACGCCTGGTCTTCATCACTCTGAAGATCAGCCAAGGAGACCTCAAATACTCTGTGCTTTAAACCCTCAGAGGCAATCTGAAAACAAACAGAAGAAATTGAGATAGAGGCAGTCATGGAATCACAAAAAAGGATAAAATAGATACTTTGAATTGATTAATTGAAGATTACGATAAAGCTACAAAGGAACCAACAGGGTCATCGAAGATTACTGATCCTCAACTCAAGTCTAGTAACAATCCAATAACTCAGTCCAACAAATGATCTATATCTTAGAAAGTCAACATAAAACATTTTTAAAGCTACCTAACCAAATAAGGGCATTGATTCTTTACCACAAATAGTGATACATAGAGAAAACGGACCAAAGAGTAAATAATCTTAGGGCTTCCAACTTATTATATGAACAAATAACAAATCTGACAGCCTACAGAGGTCTCATCTTACAGAGCAAATACTACACAGCCAAGGTCTGAGTGAAATAGTACTACTGTAAATCAGGTACAATGTCTAAATAAAAAGTATTGATAGAAATGCCATATACACTTGGTTGTTGGTATGATTTCACAGCAGTGAAGTCAAGATACATGGATCAGTGCATCCATTCTGGCATACAAATTTATAGAGCACTGCACAAGATCAAGAATAAGTCTGACCTGACTGAACAAGTGCCCTAACAAATGGATATGGTAAGGTTCAGCAATGCATCTCAGCTACTAATCAATCACTACTTCACCACAATACACGAAGGCAACAGTATGATACCCAAACAGAGCGAGAAGGTGAAGAGCGGGCATACCTTGGTGCCCTGTGTCCTGGAGACCAGGGTCTTGCCGATGTTGCGCACGCTGAAGACCGACGGAGCCTTGATATCATACCAATCCTTTTTGCTGAAAGGATCCACGCTGCAAGGCCAGAGACACAGACACACCAAGAAAACGGGTCAGCGCCGGCCAGAGGAGGCCAAAGAACAGCTGATAACGAATGCCATGCATCATTCAGTTCATAGTACAGCCAAAAAGGATTTTGAAGTGGCCAGAAACATCAGAAATTGGCTAGAATTCGACACCAGATGCAGTGAAATTCGAGGGACAATTTCAGATTAGAATGTGTGTAACGATGGATAAAATTCAGCAGTTCTGAAGTATTCTTCAGGTAATCAACAATCAAAAGTTGCTGCACCCAATCCGACACAACTAAGAAAAAATAACTATCAAATAGTTCCGCGGTTTAGCATGGAACAAATGGGCACATCAATATCACAGGCCTAGTGTCCTCGCTCAAAGAAATCATGTGACGTGATAATATTACAGGGTGATGAATGGTCATCTGCGCACCAAAAGGTCCACAAGAGCAAAATCTGACCATCTCTGAATGTTATATTCCCGGTTTCCGATCCGCAGACTGAAGAGGACAAGGGGGCCAGATACTCACGTCTTCTTCTTGCCTCCCTTCTTGCCCTTGGAGATACGCTTATTCTTCCCAACCGCCATTGCTGCTGCGAGAGCTCGTCGCTGCGTCCGTGCGGCGGCGAGGGGGGCGGCGCGGCGTCCGTGACGAGAGGAGGCGCCGCTGGTTGCGGGACGGCGCTAGGGAATGGGGCGGATCCAGAAGACGACGAGCACCAGAGCCGGATTTGGAACGGAGATGAGGGGATGCAGGAAGAGAACGACGGCGGGGTGCGCTAGGGTTTGGAGGGGCACTGGCTGCCCTCCACTTTTATACGGGGGGAGGGGGGCAGGCCAACGGGCCGATTTGCAGGCCCCCAACGGTCGAGGAGCGAGATCCGCCTGGCCTGCTAAAGGCATTGTATGGGGCGGGCCAAGGGCGTTATCAGGCCGTGCTCGTGCCGGGGGTGCGGCCCAAGCACGGCACTACTATGCAGGCCGGGCCGGCACTGGCACGAGTGAGTTCGGGCGGGGCCGTGCTTGGGCCAGGTCTTAACATTTTTTTCCCTTCCCATGAATGAATTAAATCTAATTTGTGTCAGAAGATTAGCTTTCTCTTGTGTTCCTACAAATTATTAGTACTCTTTTTCAGTTATTATGCAGGATGATAACCTGCCGCTTTTTCCGGTGATATGGATTGCAAACATATAAATTATTTATTTAGTTCATCTTTTTTCAGTTATGTTGATGATATCCTTCAGCCCCACATCCTGAGGACCCCTTCGCGCCCAACGCACCCACACCCACTGTCCTCATCCTGACGCGCAGGAGACTGTGAGGCCTGGCGTGCTCCTTGCCCTCGGCACACTCAGGAGGTTTGTGCTCGACTCCCTCGCGGTGCTCAAGTGACCTGCGCTTGCAATCATTCTGGCCGGAGTACTGCCGCCGCAGCGTTGGCCGGGTAGGCGCTGGCCACCTCAGGCTCCTCGCCTCCATCGCACGAGTACATTGCGCTATGCTCACAATTTCCACTAGGATGTGAGTCAGCCCTCTTCATTCCTCCGTCACCCCTGGTCTACTTTATTTGCTTCTAGATCTAGTTTTGTGACCATATGTGTTCATCACGTCTGCCATCTAAGGGTCCATTCGGCTTGCTAAAACTTGGCTGAAAATGGCTGAAAAACACTGTTCTGGATGAAATGTTTGTGAGAGAAAAACAATGTTCCCGCTAAAAAAAAAACCGAACAAGCCGGATATAAGGTAAGCCGAACAGGGCATAAGTCTCAATTAAAGATTGCATATTGTTAATTGTTTGGTGTAATGCTAGATAAATTAATCTCGGGATTTTCAGTGTACTCCTACTGATTGTCACATTGATAATTGTGCATAATTTCTGTGGGGGTTATTAGTTCAATGGGGGAATAGATTCTTGTAGTAAGGGCTGGCTTGGTTCACTTTTAAAATTTACCAAACCAAGGATTTGGCAAGTCATGATTTTGGCTAGTATTTGGTTACCTACTAAAACTTGTCAACTTCTCACATTTGGCTTACCAAATCTTTGGTAACTTTCTTTGCCCAACTTTTGGCTACCAAAACTTTGGCATGGTAAATTTTAGTCACGAACCGAGCAAGCCCTAAGTACCAATGACTTAGCCTAACAAGAATTTATGGAAATTATATAACATTATTTTATGTTATCATGTCCACTTTTAATCTATTAATATTTAATAATCATGCCATTATTTATTTTCAAAAAGTTTCAGTTACCTTGACTGTAAGGAGGAGCATTGGTAGATGTTGGTCCTGCGATGTGGATGACACGAACAAGCCGAAGGTCTCCATCTGGTGCCACCACACAATCAGCTTCCATGACATGGGGATGAGGTCTCAAGGAACACGTCTACTACCATCCAGTTTCGAGGATGCCGCTAATATGGACGTTTAATTATTGAGGTTTTACTCATACCATCAGTCTTATGAAATTTGTAAAAGCACTTAAAATCCAACCATTACCTCCAGCAACAGCCACTACATCCTAGCCCTCGAATTCATAGGATCCACTCGTCATTAGAGCAGCTCCAGTGTAATCTAAAATCGAATTGAGAGCTCATCCGACCGAACCATGCACACTGGAGTATTCGAACCGTATGTGTAGAAATCGCACTCCGTAGATGAGTTGAACCGAGGCCATAAAATAATCAGTTCCGTGCACCACGTGAGCAGATAGAAGCAAAGAACGGTTGGAGAAGAGTCCACCTGGTCCTGGCCGTGAAACTGATGGATGTTTTTTTTAATCGTACGTGGACCCTACTAATCGATGTCTACGCTAGAGTCATCGAACTCTCCTTGCGTTCTGGTGGCATGAATTTTACGTTTTGAGTTAGCACTGAGCTGCCCCTTAGGTCTTTTGTTCTCCATTTCTCTCTCACGCATCCACGGATAGACTCCTTTCTCTACAATCACGATGTGCATCGTCCTTCGTGCCTCCGGGGAGGGGGGGGAGAGAGGGGGGTCATGGACTCATGGTCGCTCCTGCGGGAAGAGGGTGTTGAGAAGGGCACGCCAAGGAGGAGTCGCCGGAGCGGGGAGGGGGCGGTGTCGTCGGAGCGAAGACATGGGAGCAAACACACTAGGGAGCATTGGAGTGTACTAGAACATATAATAAGTCTGATTTGATAGTATTATACCAACACTACTGCAATACCATGACGTGTGTGCAAGCGTACTAAAATGCACGCCAAACCTCGGATATAAGAGGCTAGCCTCAACATTTTGTACGAGGCTCTCTCTCTCTCCCCCCTCTTACCTAGGGGAGGCGGGGTGGAGATTGGATCCTTGGTTTCCAACTTTGAAACCTGATGCACAAGGAGAGAGCTCAGGATCGCGTTGGTTGTATGTTTTTTTTTCATAATAGGGGTCTCAACTTAGTAATCTCTCACATAGATTGAGCTAATTGCTTCTAGCTCTCGTCTTTTGAATCCCTTTGCTGAACATCTTGCTAATGTTAGTTCGCCGTCCACCCACCAGCACCGATGGAAACGCTGGCCCCGTTCGACTTACCCCATATTCGGCTGGTTCGGTTTCTTTTTTCAGCCGGAACAGTGTTTTTCTCTCACGACAATTCAGTCAGAACAGTGTTTTTCAGTCAGTTTCAGCCAAAATTCTGCCGGCCGAACGGGGCCACTATGTCAAAATATTTTATATACATATTTTTTTTAAAAAATAAAATTCTATAAATTATAGGATGTATCTGTAATAGAATGTGACTATGACAATTTAGCTTATTACACCATGCTATCTCTAGAGAAGAAATAGTACCTCATAGAAATTAAGGGCCTCTAGAAGTTATTGGTCGATCCATCTATATATAGACCAAATTTACTCGTGGCATGTATAGAGTTACCACAACGGCTGTTATCATGCCAAAAAAAAAAACATCATGGTTTCTAACAATTTAGATACACGTAACAGTGCCGCTACAATTGCCTAAGAAAACCCCTTTAAACGCTGTGATACCGCCACAGGGCCACGTGTCTTCCTCGTAGATTTAACACGTCATTAAACTATGATGTGGCAGCCCTCCATGTTGGAGGCCCTTTTCTCTTCTAAAGTAACCTACCTTCCCCTTCTGTCTCCATTGCAGGGCCCATGTGATTCTCTTCTCTCTCTCCTATCGGTTTTTAACTTTGCTTCCATGCATGGATTTCTCCTCCCCCCAAAGGCCCCAACCGCACCCGTCGCCCCAACAAAACCTCCGAGCAGATCACGACCTCCGCCATCCCGCTTAACCACACCACCCTACCTTTCCTCCCCTCTTACTCCTTCAGCACTCTGCTAGCCTCAAGCGTGCTCTCGCCCTCTTTCTCCCAGATCTCCGACGCTCGACGCGCCGCGGATCCTCCTCCCGATCGCGTCCTGATGGCCTCCAGGTCGGTTTCTTGATCCCTCGATCCCGAATCAATCCCACAGCTTCTTGCTTCGTGATGGATGTCGTGGAGCTTGCTGCGGCGGCGAGGCATGGATGCAAGGTCTGCGAGAAAAGCTTCCTGTGCGGCCGGTCGCTCGGAGGAGACATGAGATCGCGCATCTCGCTCGGCGAGGCGGCGCTGGAGGTTCACGCCGACGACGAGCTGAGGCGTGCTTCGCCGAACGGTGGCCGGAGCTGCAATGGAGTGGTCGGGTACGGGCTGAGGGAGAATCCCAGGAAGACTCGGCGGCTATCCGACTTCGCCAACGAGGAGGATGGCGACCATGGCGTTGGCGATGGCGATGGAGAGCAGCACAAGGCGTGCCGGGAGTGCGGGAAGCTGTTCTCGTCGTGGAGGTCTCTGTTCGGGCACATGCGGAGCCATGCGTCCGGCGGCAGTTTTCGCGACGACGAGCATGATGTGGACGTGGCAGAGGAGGAATTCGTCCCAGTCCCAGAGGAGGCGGAAGCAGAGGAAACAGAGATGGTGACGCCGATAGAGGCGCCTGTGGCGGCGGCGCCGGCGGCTCTGACGGTGCTGTCCGCGCCCCCTAGGCGGAGGCGCCGAACGATGCGCGTGGCGGCTCCTGCCCCCGTGCCGCCGTCGCCGCCGATGCTGAGCGGGTTCGAGAAGGAGACGGAAGACGTCGCGCTCTGCCTGCTGATGCTCTCGCGCGACACCGGCATGTGGAGCTCGCCGGCCAAAGAGGAGCCTTTCGAGAGCGCGGAGAAGCAGGCGGGCCTCCCAAGAAGCGGCTACGCTTACAATTCCGACGACGACTCAGCTCTGCTCCAGTCCGCCGACGCCAAGATCAAGGGCCGCGTCGCCAAGAGGAGGAAGCGAGGCTCCCCGAAGCAGCGACGCGATCTCGTGGCGCCGAAGCGGACCCGGTACGAGTGCCCGGGGTGCGGCAAAGTGTTCAGCTCGTACCAGGCGCTCGGCGGCCACCGCGCGAGCCACAAGCGGATCAACGCCAGCTGCAGCTCCCCCAAGGTCACCCCCGCCGCCGCGTCCTCCACGCCGGAGCCAAGCACCGAGACGTACGCGTCGTTCAACACACTGTCCCCCTCCGTGTCGCCGGACTCGGTGGCCATCGGCTTTGGCAAGCCCAAGGACGAAGCGGTGGGCGACGCGAAG